GACAAAGAGCCTGCAGTCGCTAAGCTAGGCTGAGTTTGAGAGGTCCATACTTGAGCTTCGGGGACCGCTTGGGCTTCGGGGCTGCTTTCATGGTTCGGGTGTCTGTGGATGGATCCGCCAAACAGCACAGAATGCTGTGGGCTGTTGAAGTTGACATTTTGGCTCTAGCTCTGAGACTCAAGCTCCTGAACAAAGCTCCTCGCTTTGGGACCGTCTGCTGCCTTTAGTTTGCAGTGTATTTGACAGGACTTCGAGCTTAGCCCAGCAGTGGGTCTTGAGAGCCTTCATCAAACCCTGAAACGCATCAAGTAGAATCGACAAGCTGAAGCTGTGGTCTATCACTCCGGCGTTTGCAGCTCTAGGCTCCTCCACCTTGCCTGAATCCATTCCGCAGTCTTTGCCAAGCAGCTGGTTGTCTGCTTCACAGTGAGTACGAGCCACAATTTGGGTTGGCCCCTCCTTCAAGACATCCGCGTACCTATCACTGCAGGGATCTCAGCTACCGCAAAGGCCAAGGCAAACCCCCACACACTGCTACCCAAATAGTAAGCCAAGAAGCTGGGTACCCGCAGCATCGAGGCTTCCCCAGCCTGCAATAAGTGCCTCGCGCAGTACTAGCAATTTGTCTGAGTACGTAAGCCAAGTCTGTCGGAATCGTCCAGAACCACAACTACTTGAAGTAGGTCCTACTGATAGCTACCGCGGATTATGCGCGGCATAGATGGCGCGGCACGCCTGCTTCCCACCGTGCACGGTGTAGGTCTGCTCAAGCCTCCGACAGTTTCGGTCCAGCACACAAGAACTGAAGTTCAAGCTTCTCGGGTCGGACCCCGAGCGGCTAGCAATGGCTCAGCTGAAGCAGATAAACTGCCGAAGCTCATGGCTGCTCAGCAAGGCGAGCTCAGGGGGTATGAGGTCGAAGTCGAGCTCAAAGCTACAACCGACAGCGAGGTAGAACTATGGTGAGCCGTACTTAGCCGATGAATTTGCCCTCACGTCGCCAGAAGTGCAACCATATTGCCATATAGATGAGCAAGACCGTGAAGCCGACAACCACGACTACGACTCAACAGATCACAGGACTTGTGATCAATACCAGGCATGTCACAAAAAGAGGCATCAGCTCCAGAACGTATGTCAGTTCTTATGTGGTCGTGACAGCCAACATGGCCTCCCTGACCGCGTGCTCCACAGCGTAATACAACAAACCGACCCCGCAAGCACCAACACATGCAACATTCAAACTTCTCAGCTACTCAGTCTGCAACAGTCCCAGGAGCTGTGCAAGTGGTTTCGTTGAAGGGGCGGCTGTCGACAAGCGAATGAGGGCCTCAGTGGCTTCTTCCGACATGGACAACAAAGGCCCGATCACTTCTGGTCCCTGTGAAAGCGAAGCCACGACAACAACTGCATGAAGGCCACTACTGTCAGGGAAGAAAAATGCAGGAACATGTTTCCGATTGTCCACACATTTCATGCCCAACACGGGCGTGCTGCGATGTCATCATCCCAGGTCACCATGTGGTAGGTCGGGTGCACGACCTGCACCACATTTTCGGCACGTTGGTCGTCATCTCGAGACGCACATCTAAGGCTCTCAAACCTGTCAATCTGGTTTCTGGCAAGCTTCGATCAAGTCAACGTTCGCAAGAGTGAAATCGTTGGCCGTCGTAGATGCCAAATATCGCACCTGGGGCAACTAAGCCGTGTTACAGGCCGTCAGCGACTGTAATACTCCTTTACTCTGTACATCAGTACGCATGTTTGCTTAATGGGCAAAAGGATGCATACCTACACATGCGCATATGATATCATATGATTAATATTTACCCACCGTTACACACATCTATGCCCGTACGAGCGGGCAGGTAGATCTGTAATCTGTCAGATTTGGTTGCTGGCTATTTGTGCGAATCATGCGGTGAGCATCAGGTATCACGGACTCATACATGCCCTTGCAGTGCTTGAGCTCTCTGTTTTGCCGCGCTGTGTGTTGCCCCGCCTGAAACTTGGAGACCTGCGTGGGAGAACTGTAGAAGCAGTGCGCAGCAGTGAGCACCCAGTTGGCACGGATCAAGGTCCTGCCCCCGGACATGATCGGGCATGGCAAACTTGCAGGTTTGGCGGGTCTTCGAAGAGTACACAAACTGGCCATCCCATTTAGGGCTTACGGTTGCAATGCCCGGCAGTCCCTCCACACTGGTGATTGCCGTTGTACCAGATGGAGACAAGGTAAGGAAATCCGCCTGCGAAACGACCCCAGGGCGTTTGACCTCAGCCAGCATCGAAGAGGATTCCGACACCGACTCTACAAGCAGCGACCGGAAGGCACTGTGTCAAACTCCTAGCTGCTGCATGTTGCAGTCACAGTGTCATGGCCCGCACGGCATCTGCACCACACGCCGCTCATCTGGGGAAGAGGGGCAGAGCAAACACCTCCGGTCTCCTTGAGCTCCCCCTGTCGTTGGCAGAATGCCCTTGCTTGCCTCACCCACAGCTGGTCGGCTCATCCCGCTGCTTTCTTGAGACTTGTTTTTGGTAGTTCCCGGTTTGACGTACGGCTCATGGCCACTCCGCCTCCGCTTCTTTGCTCCAAACTGACACAGAAACGGGACTCCAATTTTGCCCGCCACCCCCCAGAGCCAGCTCGTCTGGGCTCAAGCTACTTCGCGCAATGGCCGTGGGTTCGTGAAGATTCCAGGGCCTTTTGGAGAACATGGCCTGGATCCGCAGCCCCTGCATGCTAGAAGTTGCCAAGGAGCTGTCCGAGTTGTCGTAACCTGGGGCGCTGCAGGGCTTGCAGGTCAAGGCTGCGGAACCATCCGGTTCATGAATGCCGATATCTCTAAACTCGATGCCGAGTGCCAGGCTGTAGATCAGACGCCTATCAGCATCTTCTGATGAAGCGCACGCCAGCAAGGCCGGAAGCACAAGGAATGAAGATCTCAAAGAAAACATGGCTGGACCGCTCCAGGGCTGGCCCAGAGCTGCAGACTTGAGGCTTGAGATGGCTGAAGGGAGCAGAGCAGTAACCCACACCTCCATTGATCCGGACAGTCTAAGATGCAGGACACGCCATGGGGCCTCGGAAAAATGACTCGTAAGGGTTCTGATTAGAGGCTTATGTTCATGGTTAAGGATCCTTATATCGGCCCGGGGTTCCTTGTTCAAGAGCACAGTGACATGCATCCAGCTGCGCCTCTCGGTCCCAAGCTGGCGCTGCGGCTCCCCCCCCCTCCATCTCCAGAGAGCGAGCTTAACCCTAAACCCTAAACCCCTGTGTCAAACTCCGCGGTTAAAATGCTTCTGGGCAGCTCGGGCCTGGGGCATGCGAAGGAGTGTCTTCATTTGTGTTGGCGATTCGCTTCGGTGTCCGATGCATTGAGCCGGAAAGCGCAAGCCCACACCAGAGACAGATCGCAGCTTTCGAAACAGGGTCGACCAGAAACCCGGCGCATGAAGACTTCTGCCCTGAGACCGACATGTGTCTCTTTGCTGCGGCTCTGAGGCGAGGGCACACCTTTTGACATCCAGCTGCCCGTGGGCATTCCTTGCTCGATTCAGCAACACATTCTCAGGAGAAACATGGCTGAACGGCACACCTCTAAACACAGCTCAGCTGCCAAGATTTTTCGACTGCCAAAGCAGAAGATATTATGCGCTTGCAGCTAGCATGGCTTCAAAAACCCAGAGCTTCGTTCAACGCGCATTCTGAAACCTTCACGTGCTTAGCTTCCGAAACTCGAGTCATGCGACCGTTGGAGAGGAGCTGCCCTGGGCCCTGCCAAAGGAAAGCTACGTCAACAGCGCCTGTGCGCACAAGACGATCCCTGAATGCAAAGGCTACGTCGTAAACTGGTAGATCTTACTGTCCTGGTGGACACGATAGTCACAAACGCAGATGCCATGCATCATTTGCTTCCGCCCCCACCCTGCGACCACAGCAAAGCGAGAAGTGCAGAAGCGGGAGCCCGGGCGGCGTCTCGGAGTGGTTGTACAGCGAGCCGAGACCTTGAAGTTCCGAAAGCCACTCGGGACGAACGCTAACATGAAACCTACAGGTAACATGAAAACATACTTTAGTTATTCTTAGACGTTTCTGAAGAGACACATACATACATACCTACATACATGCATGCCTACATGCATATGCACACATGCATACATACATACATACATACATACATACATACACACACACACACGTACTCACACACACACACACATGCATATATATATATATAGAAATGTATTATATGTATATGTATGTATGTGTATATATATATATGTGTGTGTGTGTCTGTCTGTCTGTCTGTCTGTCTGTCTGTCTGTCTGTCTGTCTGTCTGTACGTACGTACGTAGGTATGTACGTATGTATGTATGTATGTATGTCGACACATACACACACACACATGCAATCCTGTACGGGTCGAGCCTCTACACTTGTCAAGAAGTACACATCACCCACTACAGTATGAGCCAGGATGCCTCCGGGCAAAGCACCCTCCTCCCTCCCCGCCCTTTTCGCCACTCAAGGTCCAAGCCACCTTGGCCTTCAGGCCGGTGGCGGCGGGAACTCTGAGCTGAATACTAGAGGCCCCCAAAAAGGACGTATGTGTCTGCAGTTTTAACAGGAGGATTTGTGGGATCTCCTTATGCACATGTGCTTTTTGGCGGCCTGAGGTGCCCGTCTGCAACCTCCTTGCCAAAGCAAAGCGGCGGCATGGTGAAACTCTAGACTCTAGGATCGAGACCTGGGCTTGCTTGAGGGCTGATTTCCACTGAAGACACTGCTCATGTTGATTTGTCTTGAGAAGGATGGGAGGGATCCGAGAGCAAATCCAGGGAGAGCTGCCATGGAGCAACCAAGCTCCACAGTCACACGATGTGCTGAACAAATGGAAGCTCGCCCTCGACTTTTCCAAGCTCGTCTTCCAGGTTTTACGAAGTAGAGAAGATGGGAAAGTCTGCAGGAGCCCATCTCACGGAGGCACGGAGACTCAGGGCTTCGGTGTCCAGCGCATGGCCTCCAGCGCTCTTTGCACCGTCTGCCAGTCTGCGCCCAAGTTGCGAGCGGCGAGGCCCAGGGCTTGGGCCTCCAAAACCACGGCAGTTGCGACGTTCAGGGACACCTCCTGGATGCGGTCGCGCTTGGGCACCACCATGTCCAGAGCCATCTCCTCGTCACCCAGGCTGTTGGCCACGGCCTCTGCAGCGGCCAAGAACAGCCGCTCTGGTATGCTTGCTGCCTGGCAGCAGACTGCACCGAAAGACATGCCCGGGAAGATGTAGACGTTATTCACCTGCCCTGGTGCGAAGGTTTTCCCGTTCAGCTCAACCGGAGCAAACCAGGTGCCAGAACCGAAGATCACCTTGCCCTGAGACCACTCGTAGGCATCGTTGGCGGTGATCTCTGCTTGAGTCTTCGGATTCGAGAGGGCAAAGATGACCGGGCGCTCCGAGAAACGTAGCAAGGCCTCCACCATTGGCTTCTTGAAGCAGTTCGGAGTCACACCAACCGCCCCCACTACGCAGGTGGGTTTGACATGTTCGACTAGGGTAGCCAGGTCCTTAGAGTCGAAAGTTGGTTCGCCGACCTGCGCAAAAGCCTTCTGTTCCTCGTTGCGGAAGCTGCCCTCAGTGCCATCCGCAGAGCGCCAAATCAAGCCCCTGGAGTTGGTGACGAAGATGGAGGAGAGCGGTACCCCGGCCTCTTCGTTCAGGAGCCGCATCAAGCCGATGTTCGCGGATCCCGCTCCGTGGAAGAGGAAGGTCTGCTTCAGCAGCGTCGCCCTCAGGTCGCACTTGGCATCGCGAAGGCGCATAGAACCCAGGAGCCCCGCCAGCGCTACGGCGGCGGTGCCCTGGATGTCGTCGTTGTAGGTCAAATACTTGTTGCGATACTCCGCCAGTAAAGGGAAGGCATCGTTGGAGTTGAAGTCCTCAAACTGGAGCAGGCATCTCTCACCGAAGAGCTCGGTTGCAGCTTTCATGAACTCCTCGATGACATTCCCTTCGCCATAGTAAGCGGTGTTCACGACGGTTCCCGCTGCAGACTTGTGTGTGACACGTGCCTGCTTCATGCCTGTGTAGAGAGTGCTATCTCGGATGACCAAGCGATCGGTATTGCCTTCGGGCCCGGAGCAGCCGGCGTCGAGGATCAGCGGGATGGTTCGAGAAGGGTCGAAGCCCGCGCAGACGGTATAAAGATCCAGTTTGCCAATGGGGATGCCCATGCCCCAGGCGCCCAAGTCTCCCAGCCCGAGGATGCGGCCTCCGTCCGAGAAGACAATGCAATCACACAGGTAGTTGCCCTTGGCGTCCTTCTCCAGCTCGGCCTCGGCATACTCGCGCAGCACTTCTTTGAAGTGGCCACGGTCGGATATGCAGAGGTAGCAGCCTCGGCGGTAGAGGGGCATCTTGCCAAATTTTTGGCATGCCTCACCGACGGTGGGTGTGTATACGGCCGGCAGCAGCTTCGCAGGCTCTGCTGCTATGGTGGCAAAGTAAAGGTCAGGGCTGCGATCATAGAGCTTTCGCATGTAGGCATAGACCCATAAGTCATGGCCCAGTGACAGAAGCGAATGGACCTCTTGGAGGGCCTCTGCCACTGTGCTGGCCTTGCACATACCACTCAACATAGAAGCAAGCTGCTTCAAGTCATCATGGTGAAGATTCCAGGCCTCAACGCTGTTGACCTGTGCCACGGCCTTGCCAAGGGAGAGCGTCCGCGTCGCAGACATGCGAAGCGAGTCGCAGAAGCCACTGACGGAGACGACCTCGTTCTCGGAGAAGTCCTTAGCCTGCTGGAGGAGGAACTCCACCGAAGCCTCGTCCACGCCACAGGTCTTCAGCACCGCTGCGAGTTCATCGCTTCGGATGGTTTCTCCAACCGTCTGCTTAAAGGCTGCCCGCACTTCCTGCATGGCTTCAGACAGGCTCTCCTGGTCCAACTCCCGAACCTCAAGCTTGAGCCAAGGCCTTCGGATGCCTTCCGCTTCCCATGCCACACTCCACGCTCTTGAGGCTCTAGACTTGCAGGTATTTGCAGGTAAGGCTTGCAAGGTCTCCAAGACATCTCAGGTCACAAGCGCTGCGACTCTTGGGACGGTAGGCAGCTGGCCCAAGGGAAGGTAGAAGTCCTTGCTGCTCGGGTCATCTTTTAGACCTTGAGTTCCAAACCGCCATCGATCGATTTAACTTCGGGGGAGCCCGGTGAGTCGTTGCAGCTTCTTTGGGGGCTTCAGCGCATATGTTCCACAGAGGATGCACGGATCTTGTGAACTGAGCTCCGCTCCCCAGCGGTAGCTGAACCTGAGCCCCAAGGTCGAGCCAGCGAGCTGCCAACAAGAACTATCTAACCCTCTGCGCTTTTTGACAAGAGCCGCAAACGCCCCAAACTTTGCGAAGGGGAGTGAGCTGAGACTCCAACATCGCTTCCGCTGCCCCGGCATCCTTGCGATGACATATCCAAAACAGAGCATCCCACAGATAACAACGGAGCGCTATCCCCAGCAGGGCCACTTATCCCTCTGCGAAGAAAGGACTGAGCAGCCGGACCATGACGATCGCAGGGCAACTTTCGATCAGCTGTCCCTTGGACAGCTCCTGCAACAGTGCCGGAATGGCTTCTTCTCAGAAATTCAACCAACACGTGTGTCGTGCTGCTTCAAGTCGTGCCTTGGTCGTGAAGACGCCCCGGCCATGGATGCAGGACTCCTCGCCGAGTCAGCTCTCGCAGAATGCTCGGTGTCCACTTGAAGACTTTGCTGAGTGCTTTGGTTGGAGTCCTCCGGAGTTGCAATCCAGATTTTAGCATCTTGCAATTCTCCATGACAATTTATGTTGGGAGGATCTCGGCGGGGGGGCAGGGCACTCTATCGCCAGACCTCCACAGCAATAGTTTCCCCCCCTATCCCCGCAAAAAGGAAATATTAGAAGTACTGCAACGTGGCGAACACGAAGATAATGCTCTGGCAGAAATAATGACATGGCTAGCTGCATTTCACTGAGCACTACAGACATGCATACCGGTAAAGTATCAGTATATATGTACACCATTCCATTTGGACATAGCCTCCCGCTCAAACCATGCATGACATGAGCGATGTCCCCGTGAAGAATGAAGCCAGAACTCTCGAGCTTCCCTGACCTGGGATGACGACTCATGTGACTCGAGGCTGGGTTGAGGTTGAGGAAAATCTCAGGTCTGGGCGAGAGTATGGGGTTTGGGAAGGCTTGCGGGGACCCCCACTGGACATCATACATAACCTCGCGGCCCTCACGGGGCACCCAGCCTGAACTTCCTATCAACGCTTCGAGCCTTTTGAAACGCGACAAGCCGGGAGCGGTCGGTCCGCTAGAGGGCTCCGCTTTAGGATCTCCCTCCTCTTTCGAGCAGCTGCCAGATCCCGGAGTCTCAAGCAACAGGATTCTGCGGCTGGGAAACTACCTGGCGCGATACATGAAAAAGGTATAGAGGTTGATCACTGGCGTTCTTCGCCATCTGTGGCAGGCTTCACCTGAAGGTCTGCCCAAAATCGCGCCAAAGAGAAGAGCGACAGCGTCAGTAGGCCTCAGCTGTGGAGCGAGTCGAAGTTGTGGTCCGCATGTGGCTCTGGGTGCTTCTGTGAAACTGGCGGACAAATCTTCAATGTTGGTCTCACCAACGTAAGCGCCTCGCGCACAAACATCGTCATCATCCTAAGTGCGGGCAGGGCGGAGCTAGACAGCTAGACTCCTTCTAGCCACAATGCTCCGGCAATTCCGCATCCAGGGCTCAGCAACTTCAAAGGAAGAGCCGGCTGACGAGTTCCACTGAAGGACCGGGTGATCAGCCTCAGATGCTGCCAAAACGAGCAGCCAGGCCAGGCTCTCCAAATGCAGGTGTGAAAATCGAACAGCATGTGCCCTTACTGTTATATAGGCCTCTCTCACATCGTATTCATTTATTATATTATATCAAATAATGTCATACTGCATTATTCAGGATTTTGTTGAAGTGCAAGGGGCTGCAAAGCTGGAAGCTGCGCCACGAGGCCAAAGATGGACAAAGCGATGAGCACTCGGAAATTCTGGCAGAGGGGCTCGCGGTTGCCACAAGTGTTACTACCAGCATAAAGTATTAAGTGTGAGTACAGGCTGACTATATGGACTACTATAAACATATAGCCTGGATTACTATAATGCATGGTATGCCTGGTATGCGTTACATCATCATCAAGATTACGCGATCCGTGCCGGAAACTCTTGACTGGCATCTGCTTCAAGCAAGCACCTTGGTCGCAAGCATTGCGCCATCCACTGGGTATGCGAAGACCTTAGTTTAAGGGCAGGGTGTACCAACTCCCAGCGGCCAGTCTAAATCTGTTTTATGCTTTCGACCATAACACGCTTGGAAATATGACGGAAGCATGTCTTGCACCTTCCTCAAGCTTTCCGAAGCTTCTCGAGACTCCAATCCCATCGAGCTGCCAGTGCTGCCACTGCGAACATCAACACCGGCGCACTGCGATGGACGACTTCAATGACCGCACTGTCGCCCTGCACAGGAGCACCATCAGCAGATGCACCGTGAAGCTCTTTATGGCCAGAGGTGGACCCTTCGCTGCAACGACATCCATGAAAATGGCAGCGTCACAACCACCATCTCACCCGGCCGAGAAGGTGCCACCACCAAACGCCGCGCAGGCGAAGGACCCTGCGCCCGCCACCGCGCCGGCAGAGAGGCCCAAAAACAGCAGGCTCCTAAGCTCGTTTTCGTGCTTCGGCTCTGCAGCTTCGGTCGCCAAGCTGGCCAAATCGCGACATAAATCAAGGATCAGCAAAAACGAGTTCTAACTTTACAGTCAACATTGTCAGCCTGCAAGCTAAACATGAGCGAAGCTGCTTCGTCGCCCGCCTAGCTCCAGCCGTGTCCTTGCAATCCCAAACATGGCATGAGATCCTTCGGAGAAAAAGCTATGCTCTCGATTGAAGAGCTTGAAGACTTCATTATTCATGTAGGATGGCAGCTTATACTCCGCCGACTCCACCCTCAGCAGCACACCAAAGAAGGCAGTGGCCCACAGAAGCTTCGAAACCGATGTTGATCTCTTTTGCTGCTGTGATGCCTTCTTCTCCAGAAGTGGAGGCAGCAGCGCCTCCGGCATGCTCGGAATTCCCTATACTCCTGCCCTGCCCGATGCCCTAACTGTGGGCCCAGCGTCAGTAGCAGTAGCAGTCAGTCGGGAGGTCGTGGTGGTGGTGGTGATGGTGGTGGTGGTGGTGGTGGTGGAGGCGGCGGTGGTGGTGATAGGTTTATGTCGGTGATCGTTTTTTGTCACCCACTTTGATACCGGTAGTAGGGGTAGTAGGGCTGAGGGATCAAAACATGCCAAATAGGGATCAAAGACAAATTTTGCGATCTAATCACAACAGGTGTCAAACAATACCATATCTCCTGGGGGTATACTCAAGATTACCCATTTTCGGATCAAAACAAAATCAACAAGTGATCCAAAAAACAAACAGAAAGACGTGTGACTGGCAAAAGCATGGTTACAAAAGACGCGAGGTGAACTCGCCAAAGCCGTCAATCCGGTGCGCAGCATGTACAGAATGCAAATCTGCAGAGAATACAGCGGAGTTTTTTCATGCCAACATAGGTGCAAGACGCATACAATTCTCAGTAGGTCAACAGTCCTGAGCTTTGCAGCACTTCTCGCCTCGCACCCAGCAGCTCGGGCGGAGCAGGAAGCAACACCACCCCAAAACCATGTCAAAAAAAACAAACTTGATGTTTCTACATGTTTGGAACAGTAAGATTTGTTTGCCAAATCTTCGATGTTCAATTTTCAGAGCACCAAAAGTTAAAAGAAAACAGAGCAAAGGCAGTTCTTGAATTTGTCTGTGCACTGAACAGTGAACATTGAAGATTCCTGGAAAAGTTTGCCGTGGAATCTGCGATGTTCAATGTTACCAAAAATCCAAAACCACATCTGAATGTTTCCATGATGTGAACCTTGGCCATTGAAGATTCAGCAATCTTGAGTACTCAATCTCGGAAGCAGCTCACTGTTGAGATTGTTTTGGAATTTGTTGCAGCGAAGCCTTGGAGGTAGGTTTTGAGGGATATACATAAATACAAACGCAGATTGATATACATACATATATATATATATATGTATATATATATACACACGTTTTTATATGACTGCGCTGTAGTGATGTGTAGATGTCATGAAATGTCATGTCATGAAAAGCAATGGAATGTAGTTAAACGAAGTGAAATGTAGCAAAATGCAATTATGTATGTATGTATGTACGTACGTATGTATGTATGTACGTGTGTGT